TCAGTTAGCCAGTTTTTGATCCAAGCTGCCACAGTTCCTAAAATTGAAGCTTTACAAAATAAGATGGAAATCAGTAATATTTTTTTTTACCCAAAACTCAATCAATGCATATTATGTTTAAACATTTTAAGTGGATCCTGAACAATGGGAGGTTATGACAGACATACACAAAAGAATCTAATATGGAAGTGAAGTGTGGGAGAATCAGATTGCAGAAAGAACACGACGTATCCCTAACCCTCTACATGCAGCCATGCTGTCAAGCTGTGGCTGTCCATATAGGTGACAGCAAGCTTGGGGGGGGGGGGGGGGGGCAGCAAGAGGGCGGCCACCTTGTGGTACCCAGGGAGCTGGGGGTTACAGGCCTTGGTCACGGGCCCATGGAAATGTGGCCATCCTGCTGAACCAGGGTTCAAAATGGTGACCTTCTGATAACAGCCACAGAGGCTTAGCCCACTGAGCCACGCACTGCCCCCCTTAGCTATTATGCCAAACAGAATTAGCATTCACAAGAATTACTTACCACTGTGACTGTTACAGGAGACAGGAATGTTTTTGTAAAGAACTGAAAAGCGTGTAGTAATAACAGAATAAAATGTTACATTACGGCACTCAGTTTGCCGACAGTTGTCTACCTTTTACGACGGCGACCATAAAGCTCCCTACGGAGCTCTCGGGAGATGGGCTTCAGATGCATGAAGTTGCAGAAACCGTCTCATGTGCATTCACTGAAATGGAAAAAGAGCCATGATCCAAGACATCGGTATCTGGACAACATAGTTTATATGTTATCAGAGAGATGCATAACACATGTAGTCAGCCATTTATGTCTCTAAAAACAATTTCTCTATTTAAAAAAAAGACATCTAATTGCTCTATGAATTACAAGTTAATGACCCCATCCAAAACAAGCTTCAAATATCGGATTGTTACTTAGGTCATATTTTTCCCATGTGTAATTTTATTTATTCAATCTATTCTATGGAAAGCAGAAATGTATTCTATACCAAACTTAAAAACAGTGTTTCCCAACCTGGTCCTCAGGGACCCCCTTACAGGGAGTAAGTTGGGATGGAGCAAAAACATGGACTGGAAAATACTGCTTTATAATTTGCCACCTATCACTCTTCCAACAGGAGGTTTAAAAAAAAAAAAAACTATTCCATTACCTCCAGTCCGCCTATGTGACCATCTTATCTGAAGGAATTAAAAAAGGAAAAAGGTAGAGTGGGGAATAGGAGACCAACCCCATCTCATACTGGCGACAGCAGGCTTCCCTGAAGTCTGTGACGGGGGAGAGCTCAGCATGGATAGGTTGCCCGTTAAACCAGCGGTTGTTCAGATATATGACTGCTTTCTCTGCATGCTCTTCACAACGGAACTGCATATCACATAACATTTTTGGATACTTGTTTTTGACGTCCTACTTCAAACTTTTCATGGAGCACTTTTATCCACATGCACTAAATTATAAGGCCTTTCTAACACTTACCTTCACATATACGTTGCCAACTAAATGATCCCCCAGGTTATCGTGCACATTCATCTCCTCCACTTCACCATACTTCTCCACCATCTTTGTAAAGACTTCCTAAGGATAAGGATAGGATTTCATTGTGCAAGCCATTCCCACAGCCAGCAAGCAACTGTCAAAGACATGACATCCACACCCTCATGAAAGGTTTGACATTGAGCAATGGGTTTCAGGGGTATCATTTTAATAATTCAGCAGCTTGCATATTCAGTTACGCATTTATTGACTGAGGATCACACAGCAGATCTGATGGACTGGCATCTTACACCTCTACAGATAAAAACTGCATTCCAAGCAGGGCTTACCTCAAAGAATTCATTGTAATGTTCCTGCATCTCCACATCGGTGACTGCACCTAGAGCAGAAGTGCAACAATCAAAGCATTAAGCGCCTCCAAGTAAAAACAATAAGGCACCGTAGCAGGATTTGTACAATTTCATTTTGGTAAAATCCAAGAAAGACTAGATCCTCACAATAAAGAGCTATATAAATAAACACTGCAAGAACCTTTTGCTGAGCCGAATCTGGGTTTTGTAAAAAGTGGACTTGTACAAAGACTTAATATGGCATAGCTGTATGACAGTACATGTTTTTCTATGCTAAAGGATGCACATTTAAAATATATATTTTGATGATATGCAATTTGAAGAGGTTGACTAATATTGCGTGTGTGTGTGTGTGTGTAAAATTGTTAGTATACTCTATATTTGCACCAACATGCTTATCTTTATTCAAATCTTCAGAAGAATCTTGTATAAGCCTCATTATAATATGCAAGTGCAAACTTTCCCACTTCATTCTCTCCTCTTCAACTGTCATTTTATGCCAAGGAATTATGTGGAGTTATGATACATTTTGATACAATAAGTATGAACCGCTGGTATAGTGCAGTAACGAGTAACAATACATACACTGTATTTATTTACACCAATACACTTAGTCTGCACTAGCTATATAAAAGACAGGAGCCCTCATCCACAAACAAGTTTCCAAAGAATTCCCAATCATAAACAAGAACTGTCATTTTTTATACTAAAAATATAATAGTATACTGTCATTTACACAATAATTCATGTGCAAATTTTAGATCACCTGTATCCCTGCTGCTCCCTCATTCCACACAGACAAAACAGTAGTTAAGGTGGCACTACATTAACAACAAACTCCCCCTAAGCCCGAGATCAAATGCTTCTAAACAAGTCTACTTATTACTTGAACCTGCTAGAGGTCCACTATTGGTTTTTGGGACAGTTACTAATTCAAAGATATGAAGAAGCAGCTTAACTGCAGGTCTTCAGGAAAGGCCTTGAGGAGCCCTGTTGGCGAAGTATGGGTTGTACACCGCACATTAACGACAACAATAATAAGCAGACACACTCAAAGATAAGTCAATGCCGCAGGATCCTGCAAGCGAGTAGAAACTTACAGCTTAAGCTGTCAGCGGACTGGGCAGTGTTTTGAGGGTTACAGTAAAAATTCTAGAGGGCAATGGCCTGAAATACAAAATATTATTTTTTTTGTGATAAAAATATATGCAATTTGAAGAGAGGTTAAGATCACTTTACCAGGTTTTTTTTTTTTTTGCTCAGGGAGGTCAGGTAGGTGAATTCTGCTGGAAGAAAGGAGTTAACAGAAAACCACACGTCTGCTGCATGGCAACATTGGGGAGCTGTTACCATGATGGACTCAAAAGTGCTAATTTTACATCAGTCCAGCCCAGAATGGGAAAATGCTATGAAAAACCAACAGCATCTCCATCACGTCACTTCAGATATGGAAGTTGCTCCAATTTCATGCCATACTGTAGCCTTCATGACACTTTGCTAATAAAACTTCTGAAGAGTCTAACAGCTCCCTAACTGCTACACTGCATTCGTTCTGAGCACCTCATTTCCAAAGCAGAAAATTACATTGCAGAATTTAATAAGAATCTTTAAAAAACAAGTTACTGTCCAGTAAGAGAACCAGAAGCATTGCTCATTGGATACGCAGTAGGCACTTATCCGTGCAGTGGTGAGCAGCAATGCGGCAGCTCTGCCAGGCAGGCCGCACCATTCAGGTACCATTCACACGACTCGTTAGGTTAAAATGTTTGGTAGGTGTTGGACGGTTGTGAGCAACATTCCAAAAAATGAACGGGGACGACTTCACTCTCATTACTTTTGTGTGTATTGTTATACAGCTGTTTATAAGGGCAATTCTGTTTAACACTGAGCTATTTAAAAATAAACTGAACTGAAATGAATTACTTATGTGGTGACTGGAATTTATGCATGACTGTATCGGCAGCTCTTACAGATTTGGGGTTCAAGGAAGGATTAGAGATTAAAAGAACCAGGCCTCCACAGGGACCACTACTTAAGATAAATCTATGCAGAATGACAGTTCTCTGCATCTCGCGGGATCTGGAAACAGAGATGAGATTTAACATGGTGGCACCCAATCAGCAGGACAAGCAAGTGCTTAATCTAAACATTTAACAGATTTAAGCTACAGACCCCTTTTTAACCCTATCAGAAATAGAATCTCTTAGATAATTCAAGATAATGAAGGTAAACCTATTTTATCTGATACTATCAATTGTCTATCATCTCCAGACCAGCTTAAAAAAGTTCTGCATCAAATGCCAAATAAATCATCTGGCCCGGATGGGTTTTCACCTGAGTTCTATAAACATTTTTGGGAAATTCTTTCACCATTATTTAATAGAGTAGTAACTGAGATCAAGAATACTTCATTAATACCCAGATAAAGAAATACCTGCTGTATTCATGCAATTCAAAAACCCAAAGATCCCACTAACCCCTCCAGTTATTGCCCTCATTCACTAATCGACTTCAAATCATCACAAAAGCTCTGGCCATTATAATCGCAAACAGTAACCCCATTGCTAATGCTTCCAGATCAGCAGTAACTCAGATACTATCATATACCAAGTTGTAGCATCCTATTATCTCCATCTCCATGCTTTCTTGGCGAGAACAGTCTCATCTCCCCAGGAAATATAAACATTTTAAATTTATTTCTAACTATTGCCAAGAAATCTGTCCTATTCAACTGGAAATCTAAAAACTTAAGCACCCAGCAATGGAAAAATTCTGTTTTGGAATAAATTTTACTTGGAAAAACAAACCACATCATACACAAAAAATACACTTTTTTTTTATAGAAATCTGGAATTCCTTCATAGTAGTACTCCAATCACAATAGAATTCTTTAACCATGCACAAAACTCACATTTTTACACAAAACGGAATTCATTCACATAGACACCATATTGGCTGGATAATACAACAGAGAATGTGTTCCCCCTTCCCCTAATGTATGCGTGTACGTATTTTTTCCACTTTAAATTGTTTATTATATTTGGTCCCATGTTAAGCATGTAATGTGTTATAAATTACTTTTTGTTTAATATCCTTAGATTTAAAAAGACTGTAAGACAGATATCCATTTGTCAACACAGGCGCTGTGACAATTTGCCTTGTGTTGCCATGTAATCATTTGCTAATTTAGATGATACGTGACAATCTTTATTTTAATATACAGTATGTCTAAGACCCACCTTAATAAACATTTTCAGTTATTCAAAATTAGTGGTAAGGATTAATGTCAAGTGATGTTAAAGCTAGTGCTTGTTAGGTAAAGTGCTGCAGGCGAACGGGGAAAAAGGCAAGCCAAGCCAGGAAGTCAACGAAACGGGGTTTTATTCCGAAGACAGGACCGGGGGAAGCACATCTACAAACATCAATGACAAATCTGGGGGAAATTAACAGAGACGAGGACTAAATACACTGGACAAGCTGAGGGTAACGAGCAACAGGTGAGAACAATCAGGCAGAAACAGGAGGTAATGAGGTGGGCGTGGCACACACGAGGATCGGACGGAGCTGGACGTGACAGTGCTCACTGCAGATGTATGAACCAAATATATGAAGAGGAGAAAAAACTACTGCTACCATAGCAACATAGCTGTGGAGCCTTCAGGCTTGCCTCCAGTATTATTTAGGCATAGTGCAAAAACTGAATCCCACACAGCAAGGCCAAGTCTCCCAATTAATGAGCCACACTCAGCTCAAAGTTAATGTTGCAGGGCAAAACAAAGTGGAGATAATGAGCTAGAACTTGTAATGACACAATCGGTTTTAACCAGCTGAAAATAATACTCTCTGCCACAAAAGAACACTATGCCTACAAAAAATACAAGTTACAATCCACTCTAAAAAGGATTTTTAATGATGAACAACATGTTCTCTTTGAAAGAAAGAGAAAGCCCCTAAGAACTAGTGCAATATTACACATCATAAGTGAGGAGACATTACCACAAATAACCTAAAATTTTGCAACTAATACACCAAAATTGCATTACAGTATTATGCAATAACATACAGCAAATGTAAAATAGCCACAGATATGTGACAAATATCTGACTTGTCTCATACTACATTTGTTAATAACACTGCTTAATTTTTTTCAATCAAATGTAAAGTAAATCTGAATAACCGGTATACTGCATAGTGCTCAACTAGAAAGGTAAGGAGTCTGCACTGACAGCGCATTGCTGCACCCACCACATGACGAACCACCTCAGGGATGAGAACCTGAGTGCAGCCGTGCAGTGGGTGATACCTCAGCACCACACTACTCCAAATGGACCAGTGTGAGATTTTCCCGGTAGCTGGAGTGCCACCAACACCCAAATTTGCCTGCAGGTTGGAGGACCTCCTTGCATGGCTGGATGTAGATTTCAAATCCCTATGCATCAGCTGCTTCATTAATACCCTCTCAGGTATAGCTCTTCTGTGAAGGTTCATCAGCACGTATATAACAGTTCCTCAGTCGTATTCTATAACAGACAAGTCCATCAGTAGCATAATTGCACCTGCACATGGCTGAGTTCCAATCAATGCGCATAGGTGCAAGCAACTTAGTAGGCTAAGGTGCACACTGATATTTCAAGGGGGGTTGTGCATGACCCTTACCTGGCTAAATGTCGGCTTATTATGCAACCTGGAACAGCGGTCCCCATGGCGACAAGCCCCAATTTTAAAATAGAAAGAACAATTAACTCTGTTGGAAGATAAAAGCATTAAAGTTATTGACAAGCTACAAGAAAATGATGAAGACAGTGGTATTTAATTGAAACTGACGTAAAAGGCCAGACTTCAAATTAAATGACTAGCTAATAGTATGGCTTTGACTCATCTAAAGCCGATGGATGGATTTCCTAAAAAGTACAAGTTTTGTTTTTCTTTAGAAATACACAAAGGGATTTAAAAAAAAATGAATAACTAGGTCTAAGAATTATAAGCCCTTAACTTCTTAAAAGGCGTATTCCGCCAGGTCCTGATTTTACCCATACACTTAGAGCATAAAACAATTTTAAATAAAACAATACGACATTGTGGCTATGCCACATGACAGTATACCACCTTATACTCTAAATATGACAACATACATTTTAAATTGGGGAAGTTGTGGTGTCGATTGAGATATATATATATATACACACACACACATACATACATACATACATACACTAATGCAAGCACTGAAAACTTTTATTTCGTCTCATTATAAGGCATCACATGGTCGCTTTTGAATTATTACTGTCTCGGTGCCCTTTAAGACATAGCGAGGCATTCAACCGCACCAGATTCAACACATGCGTGACTCGGTGCTTAAAGGTGACTTGCATAGCAAAGAAAAGATTTATTGCTTGTTAACACTTTAAATTACAGTTCTTTTAATTTAATGCGTCCATTACCAAAATGTGTTATGGTCAGAGAGTCTAAGAAAGGTGACCGGAGCGCGGTGCCCCTATAAGTTTGCCCGCGGCTGGAGTTAGCGTCGAGCTAAGGAGCAGCGAGCCGCGCTACCCAGAGTACCGGCGCGGCGCCGCATGGTCCGCGCTGCTATATTTAACCAACTCACCGCTCCGAAGCACACGTACTGCATTTTATCTCACTTGTCTTTCTCTGCGCCGAAAATGGACGCCAAGTATTCCGTCATCTTCAACTTAGCCTACTAGTGCAGCAAACTAGGGCGCTGCGTCATTTGGATACGCTTCCCTTACGAGTGGTTTCCAGTGCGTCTTGTAGTGTGGTGTAAATGACATACAAATGTGCTTTGGGGGCTTTTATATCGTACTTTTCTGGATACATAATTAAAGTTCTAATGCGAGTGCAAGGATTAGAATTTCGACTAGATTTAACCTTGCTATCGTGATAGGGTAGGCACCGACCCGTTTGTAAATTTACAATGCATAAAAGCGCCACATAAATTTGTGTACTGCATCAAGGATTTTTGACTTTGACAGGAACCTCTATTTATACAAAATAATAATATTTTTTTAAAAAATCACTAAATTATAAATGCTCTGGTCAAGACTATCCCAAGACTTTACACAAAATATTTTCAGTTCCTCGTGAATGCAGATTCTCCGCTAGATTTGGATTATTGGTATGATTTTTTAATTTTTTTTTTAAAGCCCTACTTTTGTCCTATCCACTAACTGAAGTGAAACTGAGCTTATTTATTGTGTTATACCTATATGTACCTGCTCGGCATCTCAACAATCATTTAATTAAAATGCAGTCGTTTTATAAAACTCTCTGACAATGCAAATATATTTAGGAATTTGAATTATATTAAGTGAGTTCTGAATCCGCACGTCACCGCTTATATAATATGGATTTTAAGACAATTCAACACAAGGGAGCGCTGTATACGCAAACAATTTATAGAAACTAACGCGGCTGCTGGTTCACGAAAACAAATCTGATTAATAACTTGTTACTTAATGTAGATTATCATTTTCTAAAGGTTTAAAAGATCATGTAAATTGTTATTTTTTTAATTAAAAGAAGCAGATTTGATTACTTACTGCAAATATTTGCTTGGGCTTCTGTGATGTTTTAAGTCTTGGTTCAGTGGTCCATTGATTTGCATTTGTCTTTGATCCTTCCTATGGGCTTCATGTCAGTGATTTGATTTTTATCTTCTACTGACATTTCCCAGCTTTTGTTTCCCCTAGCTCCACCAATCTGTACTTGAGTCCATCACCACACCTTTTTCCAGAACTTTTCTCCCATTCAGTCAGTCAGATTTGGGGACCATTGGGCAGTCCGGTTTGTGGTGCAGTGTGTCTGTGTCTCGTTCAGTCTTATGAGAAACCAGTTTCAGCAAACATTGTATCCGATTTTGACAATTATGTGGTATCTAAGTTATAAATCCATCAAATGTGCAAAAAGGTAGTAGAAACTGGATGGAAATAATCTGCGGAAGACTTATAAACCATATTTAAATATTTATTTATTTCTAATATCACAATGTACTGTTTTTCAGGATATTTTATTTGTGTACTGTCTACATTTTAAATCTGTTTGCACTATTTACTTTCTTTGCACCTTGTCTGTTTGGTGCTATATGTATGTTTGTGCACTTTATACTTGCAGTTATACGCACTAGAATTTCCCTATTTGGATCAATAAAGTCAATCTGCAATCGACAGATATGTCAGATCACAACATTTATCATACCAAAAAAGTTGAACAACCTTTTTGCAATGTTTGAGGCTCACAATTTTACCAGATGTGCAAATCTCCCAGTAAAGCAGGGGAATTCACACTAAAGTTGTCTGAACAAGATGCGGGAAAGACTTGCAGCAAGGACTGACCACTTGTGCAACAAATACAGAGTATATCACATGACCCAAGCCTCAGGCTGTAAGCATTTCTTACCCCTGGACTAAGCTACATGTCCTCAGAATGCTGACTTCCATAATCAAAAAGTTTTTTTTCTCCCAAGCCACCCACATCATAAATAGCAGACAAACATTTTTTTAAGCTGAGATGGGGGAGTTGTTTAAGCACTACTCTCAAGCTTAAATTACCAATTTTCAGTTTATTGTAGTGAGCAGAGTCAGTTAGACCTTCATTTACAATGAAAATTTCTGTAGTTGAGTCCATCAGAACAATAAAATGCAATGCTGCGTTTTTGAGATTTTCTGTCAATTAGGCAAGTAAATTTAGCTGACTTGTTCACAGAATACAACACCAATAAAATATAATGCAGAGGTAGCCAGAATATCAGAGTCAAAAGCAGCAGAAGTTGCATAAAATACATGATACAGATTACTCGTGCTCATGTTCCATCATAAAATTAGACTTAGAGTCTGTTGCACTAGTGCAGCGGTCACTAACAGGCGGACCGCGGTCCGGGTCCGGACCCAGAAGCTGTCCCATACGGACCCGGACCGACAGCCAAAACATTTACATATTATTTAAAACCTGACGGGGCGTTTTTATTTTAACTGGCACAGCGTTTGTAGTCTTTTCGGTAATGGTTTATCAGTAGAACCGCCGTTTCCCACGCCAATGAACGTCAAACGCCTTTGACCGCCAAGCAAGATGTATAGTTCGGCGTATGCAACCCTTTGTCTGCGCTAATGTGCCTTTCGTGTTAATAGCAGCAGCGAAGCTAACACCCACAAACAAAAAGCGGAATGTTCCTAACAGAGTGGCTGCGCTCTCCTGAAATCGTAAAGCTGAAAAGTTTTCAAATACAATATGTGTTATATAACACGTTGGATAAATAGACGTAGTTTATTGTTGATTTCATGTTCGTTGAAGTTTCTGCATTTTAACTTATGTATAAAGTAATGTTATCTGTTATATAAATAAACTCATGTGAAACAAAAAATGTACGTTTTCACGGTTGCCAAATCTCAAGCATCTGGCATGACGCTCACGCTTTCAGACTCATGCTGGAAATCTTACGGCAAATCTATATTATTCCATTATAAAACCTAAAATTGGCTACGTCAAAAGTGTATTTACACGGTTAAATACAAAAGCAAACTATTTACAAGGTTTCTTTACAATGTAAAGAACTGTTACATTTGTGCAGACATCTCTAATTGAAAATCTCACTCCAGCCAGCTGGCCGAAGTTCTATGTCACGTGACAATAAATAATGTCAAAACGTTTTTGAATTGTACTTAATTAATTTGATTTGACAGTCAGGTACTGATTACATAGAATGTTGATGCAACTAATAGGCTACTTAAATATATATCACACTATTAAATGGTTAGACATTATGATCTTCCGGACCTTTGCTTCAAGAATTTTTCTCTAACTGGACCTCTTTAAATTTTAGTTGAATACCCCCGCACTAGTGGATGAGGTACAGCAAACAGTTTTCCCATAATTGGCTCTGCATGTGACTTTTGAGAACAACTAAAAACTAGGTTTTTCAAAAGGCTTTGGTTCTAACCACAGTCTGTCAAATATGTTTCTTGTTTCAATGTATGGTGCACAGAATTTATGTGGGGGAGGGACTGTGCAAAAGTTCTATGAAAATGGAGAAAACACATTACCCCAAAAAGGAGGAGTCTTTACAGAGGATGTGAATCTACAAGAATAACATTTACACATTCTGAGCCCAGAGGATGTGGGGCCTGCCATATATAAGGGAGAAGGCGCTTCCCCAGTACTGCCACTCTGTCAGAAACACGCAGTCTTAAACGCAGACATAAGGAACGTGGATGTCAGAGCACATGAGCTAGCTTATTACAGAGAGGATGGGACTCTGGGCTTGCAGGATCAGCCTGGCTTTGTCCATTGTGGTTCTCCATTACCACTTCAGTGATGCCTTGGGTGAGTCAAACAATGAAGAATAGATGAAGACAGGCCATTTTGGAAGTATTCATCGGTGTAAATTGGTTAGAGGTCAAAAGAATACAGAAAGGGGTGATTGTGATGTCTTTATGCCATTTGTTGTTCACATATTTTGTGCATTTATTTAATTTATACAAAGCATGGATTGCTATTGTAAACAGTTACGTGTTTTCATTTAATAGTGAGACACAGATCATACATACCTGTGATTGTAAATCAGGGATTCCAGTATATTTCAAGCTAGTTATTTTATGTGACATCTAAAAATACTTAAATTTTAAGGTGAATCATAAAACTGATAAACAATAGCTGAGGGTAAGACATATTCAGAAATTGCACGCATAAGCTACTTGAAGTCTGTCTTTGTTTGCCTTTGCAAAAACCTCAAAAGGAAGCAGTTTGAGTGTTCTTCTGGAGAGCGGAAATGTGGGCCCAGGTTCTTACAGCACTGAGAAGAAAAAGTCTCTTAAATCAGAAAACAACAGTGATGCAGTATGTTGCATTGAATAAGGGGTGACAGGCAGCGGTGGATTCAGGCTGTTTGAAGGGCAGGGGCAAAAAATCAAAAAGGGCACCTTTTGCATGATGTTTGCCCCTCTGTCCCCCCCTACTAGTAGAATGATACCCTCTTTATGGTGAAGTAGTCTTCAGTCCTGTTTAAGATTATTCAACCAATGTTTTGAGGCAATCTAGATATCAAATTTCCTTACACATAGTGACACCTAGGGTATGTTATTTCATTTACTTTTCTCACATGTACAGGAACCTGCGTCTCATAGTGGGCCACCATATCACACTTTCTTCACAATTTCTTCAGAGATATTTTTCTCTCCGCTCCACGGGCACTTCGTCATTTTTTCTCTCTTGGAAGGGCATGCTAGAGGGCACTTCATGGGCTTTTTCCACCAGAAAGGCAAACATTGGGCACCTCAAGTTAAGGCACATTATATGGCACTAAATCACATTTTCACTTGAGGGACATCCATTTCAGCACTTCTTGAAGTTTTCTCACCATTTAGGAATACCGTAAACTGCATCCAGTTTTATCTACTGGAAAGGGCACCCTTTGGGACATTTGATGATGTAGAGGGCACTTTATAAGGGCACCCTATTCCACTGGAAGGGGCCATTTAGGCCATTGTAAAAGCACGGTATAGGGCACTGCATCACATTTTATCTACTACAAAGGCACTAATTAAGACCATCAGATTTTCTTTCTCTATAGGGCACTTATTTGTGGTTAAGTATTTAATTTGTTGTTTGCAGTTTGTTAATTTCTGTTGACAGAAAATACATTTGTGTTTAAAAAGAGCTGATACAAGTAAATGTGTTGCATACATGTATAAACCACGTATTTCCTCTGCTATGAGGAATCAGCTATCAGTCGTTTTGCTATTATATTTTTATGCAGCACTAATTTGAAAGTATTTGGGCAAAATTAATTTTATTTTGTATTATAACATTTATTGGTCACATATACAAATGGATACAGAATTGGGAGTTTTTTTGGATAATTTTATTCAAATTCTATTTTGGAGGTTTAGATAACTATAAGTGGAGGTAGACAAGTGCATTAAACTGCCATTATTTCTTATCAAATTGGTATCTTGTGCAAATGTATGTTTGTTCCATCATAACTGTAATTTCACTTCTCTGAGTTCCAATTTCCACGTTGTAAGTTCTGTACTAGATTCACAGATAGGTGTTTTGAATCTCCATTATTATTTCCATGCAGTTGTATGGGTTTATGGCCTTTACTTAAACCACGTTTTAAAATTAGAAATACAGTAATAAATGTAAAAATAAATTAATTGCCCACATTTTGCAGTTAATTTAGATTAATTTACTTTAGGCTTTACTTAATTCAAGTGACCTGTAAGCAAAGTTTACTTTCATTTACTTTACCTGCAAGTACGAGTATAAATACAGTTTCAACTTTTAATGTAAGACTGATTTCCTTAATTGGTGCCTAAATTAATTTATATTAGCTAAAATAAACAGATACAGTATTTCTTATGCTGATGGAAATCTGCACTGTTGTGCTCCTAAAACGTGTAGAGGAAGAATACGTGTAGAGGGCCACAGAATGTGTTAAAAATGATAGTATTCTTACAGTACCAGTGAAAGTATTCTTACAGTACCAGTGAAAAGTCATTTGTTTTTCAATAAGATAATGACCCTCAGCACACATGAAGGTTATGTAAGTACTGTATTGTCTTGTGAAAAAGGAAAGAGATGGAGTACTGTGATGGATGGCTTCCACCTGGCTCTCACAATCCCCTGACATACACTATAGAGAGCTGGTTTGGGATGAGTTGGATTGAGGAGTAAGAGCAAGGTAGCCACCTTGTGCACAGAACTACTGAACACCTTTAGGACTGATGGAAAAGCATTGCAGGTGGCTACATCTTGAAAGAATGCTGAGAGTCTGCAATGCTGTCTGTACTGAAGAGGCTAAAATTTTGAAGAGCTTAAAATTTGGGAAAGCTCTGAGATACTGAACACTTTTCTTGGTCTTTGTATTGTTTGATGTGTATTACTGCATTACCACAAGGCATTTTGCTATAAGGTGAAAAGCATAGCTATAATAGAGACAAATGCTTTAAAGGCAGATGTGTCCAGACTTCTGACTCGTATTACATATTTACATAGGTAAGTCAACTCTATTGAAGACCCAGCACGAGTGACCTTAATCTGTTGGCCACGTCAGCCTGAGAAGAGCTGTAGGTGCTTCCTGCCCTATTCCTTGGATTCCCCCTAAGTCTGCTCACCCACGCTATTAACAAGTGCAGAAACTGCTGCAGGACAACAATTTGACTAAAGATGAGACTTTTCTACTAAATGAATCTGAAATTCATTATATAGCTCTTGGTCTGATACTGCATGCACTTGTTACTGAGCATTCACTGGAAGCTGAGCTTAGCTGCACATGTCTATTTGGCTTTTGGAGAACTGTATGTTTGTAATGTAGTATTTCCCTTACTTGTACATTGTACTGGACAAAAGCACATGATAAATAAATAACTGTACAGGGTACGCTGAGTGGATGGGCAAAGCAGACACTGTGCCCATAGACTGGCAGGCCTGCCTGGGTGGGGTTAGAGCTAGGTGGTATGACTGAATGGATGGAAAGGAGAAGCAATGTGCCCACATACTGGCAGGCCTCCTTGGGTGGGGTTAGGGCTGGGTATGATTGAGTAGATGGAAAGAGAAGGGACTGTGCCCACAGACTGACAGGCCTGCTTGGGTGGGTTTAGAGCTGGGTGTGTTTCAGCCATCCATGTATGTTTCAGGTGAATGCTCTGGGGTTCAGGCACATCCACGTGTCGTTGTGGGGTTTCCACCAGGTTCTCTTGTTTTCCCCCAACAACCTAAAAACATGTTAAGGTTAATTATAGTTGCCAAATTCCTCACAGCAATGAATGGTGTGTGTGCCCTGCAATGGATTGGCACCCCGTCCTGGGTTATTCCCATACAATTTTTATCAATCCACCAGGTCCTAAATCTGGACCCAAGGTGATAATCATGGATTAATATTGTGGTCAGCCCCTCTCCCCCCTCACTCACATAACATGCCACGCACACATGTAGGATCTCGGGGTGGGAATGTGCCGCGCACGCTGCGGTGAGGGGGCCATCCACATGGCCTTACTCGCTGTGCTGCACGGCCCTCTGCCTCCCCTTGTTTTAATTGCACTTTAGTCATCACATATCAGTATACACACAGGGCCTTGGGGGGTGGGGGCACTACTCAGAGGTTGGTGGGTGGGGCCGCTGAGGTGGTCTCACTCACCTCTTCACTGCTGCCCGCCCCTCAATTTTACTTACACCATATACATTGAGGGTCTT